TTTTATTTATTTGAGAGAGAGAGACAGCATGAGCGGGGAGAGGGAGAAGCAGACTCCCTGCTGAGCAGGGAGCCTGATGTGGGGCTCGATCCCAGGACCCTGAGATCATGACCTGAGTGGAAGGCAGATGCTTAACTGACTGAGCCACCCAGGCGCTGCTTGACTGTGCACTCCTTATCAGGACGTTGGTATAGCAGAACCCATGTAAGACAGGTCCTTCTGAGTGGACACTGAAGCATTTCTAGGTAAATAATCAGGCATAACAATAACAAACCCGAATTTCACAATACCATATTCTCCTATGTCCAATATTTCCCATGAGTTCTCAGAATTGATAAATTAGAATGTTTTGTACCATATTTCTGAGATAGAGTTTGAACTGAAGGACAATGAAGGGTATTAATGTTGTGATACCAGGAATACTAGTTGGAGAGCCAAGCTAACTGTCTAGGCAAAGCCTGACCTGGTGGTTCGTTTTGGGAAATGAGTCTAGTCCTCCTGTGGAAGGACTAAATACTGTATCTTATCAGTTCACTTGGGTCCAGATACAGGGGAATACTCACGCTAACCAAAACCACATGTTCGCTGTCTAGATTAAGTCTTTCTTGTGAATCCACATACCTGAGAATCTGAATTACCTTGTGGCCCTGGAAAAAGAACAGAGCACTACATGGTCCAATGTAGGTAATTTATGGTGGTCTGATGAATGTTCTATTCCTCATGAAAGTAAATCCTTCTGCGGTCTGATGCAATGGAGCCCCCCGAAAAGGTCTTTGGCTCATAAATTCTTATTATTTATTTCACCAATTCTAAGATCCACATCTTTATCATCTTTGGATGAAATCTGATATTGCATGAACTACGGTAATTGCCGTCTTATTACTCTCCTTCAGACCTCTACCTTTCCCAAACCACTCACTGCATATTGCAATGTATGCGTTGCAGATTGGCTAGGTTATGCTCCAGGCATGCAGATCCACTATGGTCGGTTGACCAGACAGAGAGATTTCCCGAATTTCCCTCAGCAGCAGGGTCACAAATCTTCTCGCAGGTGGACTCACTTCTGCCGATGGCTAAGCTCTACCATTTTCTTCACATTTTTATTCACCTCCCTTTTAAACATCTAGACTAGCTCCACATAGAAAATAACTTCTACCGCAGTGCTCAAGGACATTTGGCAGTAAGATCCAAATTCCACATCAAGACTGCTCCTGCCCAGACTCCCCTCGTGCTCCCCATCTTGGTTTTCAGCTTTAGCCACGTGACAAACATTTACTGATGGATTTTTACAAGAGTGGATATGTCATGTCATTGCCGCAAAATTTAAGACCTTAAAATGATCTAGTCTCAGGAGTTTTTCCATTCAGGATTTAGTCGCATAATATTGTCCTGACTAAAGCCCTTACTATTTCCTTTCCCAACCCTTTATTTAAGAACTTTGGTTATGGATGAAGCACAACACAAAACAAGTTTACCTAACAGAGCCTGCACCACATAATCATAGATTACAGCTGGTGATAAAAGAAAAATAAGCACTTTACATATGATGACTCCAGAAAGAATTTAAATTACAAACCTAACCTGAAACCTCTTGGCTTTTATTAGACTATAGGACTGATAATATCCATCTGGAATATATAAATTACTATGTTCAGAGTCAGCACTTGACTCGTAATCAAATCCTCATGCTATTTAATCTGAGATGTTATCACTTTTAATAATTGGTAGGTGATCTTTTCAATATAAATACACATTATATTTATACCTATTTCAAAGAGGCATTTGAAAATGTAAAATCGTGCCATAAATCCTGTTAACTTAAAAAGTAAAAATTATTTTAGCATATGAGACATTCAACTTTTAAGAAATGGAGACTTTAAACGGTGTACTCCTTAGTTGTGGTTTAGAAAGGAGGAACACACTGGTTAGTATTTGTCTTGTGTCCTGCATGAGTTGTGTGCTTTTCTCGCTTTATAGATTACTGCCAACCACCCTGAGAAAAGTTCATTATCCAGTTTTTACTGGTGAGAAAAAAGAGGCTCAGAGATGTTAAATAATTTGCCCAGTGTTCTAAAGCACCTAAGTTTCAGGGAGTCTTTCTTCCTTTCTTCCTTTTTTTCTTCCTTTTTTCCTTCCTTCCTTCCTTCCTTCCTTCCTTCCTTCCTTCCTTTTTAATGTTTATTCCCAAGCTCATGAGCTTTCCACTAAAAACCATCAATTAATTCATCATGTGATACAAAGAGCCTGGATTCAGTATGACAGATGCTTTGACAGTGCCCAACCCAGTTCTTATAGGCGAGAATATGATCTGAAATGAACAATTTTATAATGCAGAACACCTGAGAGGTAAGCATAGGTAACTGACAAGAGAAGTGTTATGTAGTTAATAGTTTCAAAAACAGTCATGCTCATAACTTGGTCTCCCAGACACTGAAATCTGAAACTCTGTGATACGTTATAGCAAGACTTCAAACAAAGAGGTTTTGTTCAGTTCATGTTTTTGTGGGAGGGTGTAACTATGCAGTCCATATCAGTCAACAAATGCTGCACAGAGCTGACCAATGACTCATGAAGTCTATGGTGAGACCTCCCTCCTCAGTTTCAAAATACACACTTCGAACTGCGTTAGTGAAAGAGCCAACAGCTTGTCACCGTCTTTTCACTACCTTGGCCTGGTCCTAACCAAATTAGGTTTTTAATTTTACTTTGGAATTTTCCTCTTTATTTAAAAATTTTTATATGCATTGTGGTAAAAAAAAAAAGTCACTTAAGAAAAGATCATTTATTATAGATTTATACATTTCTCTCTTTTAAAAAAGTTTTAAAAAACTTTTTGATTATATGGCAAAATTTCCCTCAAGAGACTTAGAAGTTCGATTTTGAAAACAAAAATCTATGTAGAGTGAAAGTAACTCTTTTTCTTTCTTCTCTCTTCATCTTCTCAAAGGAAAACAGACCTTTACAGAAGATCATGTTGGCATTGGTTACATTTTTTGGGGGGGGGGAGGCATTTGGGGCTTTCCATCTTTGTCTTTAAATACAAGAGTTGTGTTAATGCTACAGTCATTTCCTTTTTGTATTCTGAGCTTCCAATATCAAACTAACTTCGTTTTCACATAATTCTAAGAGAGAAAATCTTTTGTTTTCCTGTAGACCATATATTGAAATGCAAATATGGTATACGTAGTTCTAAAGCCAGCAAATGACATACTGATGATGTTAGAAAAGATACTCACCATTGTCAATACATGATAATTTGAACGACCGTTTCATGATTACGCAGCTTCTCTATTGTAGAAACCTAGTAAGAATAAATTCCACACTACCCTGTACAGCTTAAAATTTAACGCCTGAATTCTGACCTTCATATTAAATAGAAATGTAGGCTGTTTAATCTCTGCAAAGAATTTTTTTTTTGTCCATGAACCGCCTACTGTCTGTGGTCAAGTGGCAGGTGCAGGCAATTCATCAGGCCGCCCGCTTCTTTCCTATTATGGCTTTGCCCCTGGAGCCAAGGCTCCTGAGGTCCTAAGCATGGTTGCTTATTGCAAGGGTGCACTATTCCTCCTCCCCAGGCTGCCCTGTAGCACAGGGCGGAAGGCCACAAAGGCGAGGGTCGCCCCTGGCGTGGGGAGGGGTGTTCGTGTGAAAAGGAAGATGCTCTGGAATCCACCCACCACCCCCCGGCCCCCGAGTGCGCTGGCCTGGCGGGAGGCTGAGTGCAGAGGCTTGGGAGAAAAGAAGGCGAGGAGAGCTTGGGGGCGTGGAGGCACCTCGCAGGGGTATCGAGACGGGTCCCGCTTTCGTGGGGACATTTCAGCGGCGGCCTGGCCCGCGGGCGTCCGGGACAGAGCGCGCGGGGTGGCACAGCCCCGAGGCAGGCGGGCAGGGGCGGGTCCACCGCGCCCCCCGGCCCGCCACTTCCCGCGCTCCGCCCCCGCAGGGGTCGCCATGGCAACGGACGCGGGGTTCTGGACTCCCAACTGCCCAGAGCCCGCAGCTGCGCGGGAGGCGCCCGGCCCCAGGGGCCAGCCCGCGGCTCCGATGGAGAGCGAGGACGACACGTCCAAGACCGAGGAGTGCCGGAAGATCCTCGAGAACCTCGAGTCGGCTATCGAACAATTCCGGTTCAGCCCCAGGTGACCCGCGCGAGCCGCCGCGCCCCGCGCAGCGCCACCTCCCCTTCCTTCGGGCCACGCGCCCCTTTCCCGCGCCTCCCGCCCGCGCTCCAGGCCCCAGGCCGGCTGATTTGATTTCTTAAGTGTATTCACATAAACTGAGAACACGGACTCTGGAGCCAGAGTGCCCGGGGTTCAAATCCTTCGACCCTCTACAGGGCCCCTGAGTTGGGCGAGTTCCTTAAAAACTTCTGTCGCAGTTACCTCGTGGGGAAACCGCGTGACGGCGGTGGACGGTGCTACTTCGTAGCTGAGAGTGAACATGAAAGGAGTGCATGTGCGGACTGTGTTTAGACGAGCGCCGTACATATATACACAGAGTACCCTGGAGTGTTTGCCAACGTCATTGTTAACCCTTGATCCTTTCTTTACATTTCCTCCCTTTCATCATCCTTTGCCCCCCTCTGCCCATATTGTGTCTGTTCGGATAATATAGAGCTGATGTGTCTGGGAAAATGTGTTTTTCCTTCCAAAAACCCTTTAAAATCAGTAAGTGGCCAGCACTAGGTTAGCTACTGTGCAAGCACTTAGAATTCCCTAAAGCAAGGGCTTCATGGTGCCTGGTAAGCTTGCTTGGAGAGGCAAGCCCGGCACGCTGAGGCCCCAGAGTGAGAAAGGACCTGCACGGTACTTGCCCCGTGGTGGGGACTGACCCAGTGAGACAATGCTGCCAGCTCAGCGTAAGTGGGTCATTTGTGAAAATAGATCAGGGTAGACACAGGCCCTGGTTTATTGGTGGTTGTGGAAAGCACATATTGGCAATGGCCCATAATAACACCATGGGCACAGTGTATGACCTGTTCTGCTTGTTTACTGATAGGAATGACTTCCTGCCTTGGATTCCTTGGCATTGTCTGGTGTGGAACTCTCCAGCAGAACACACTGGCTGCGCTCAGTGGACAGAATGACAGTGCCAGGTGCTCAGTTAATGCAGGGTGCCTGAACAAAGGAACCACTGATGCCAGTGTTAATTTCTCTCTCCCCGCCCCCACCCCCAGCGCTAGGGGGATTGTGTTGGTGCTCTGGGAGGAATGGGAGAGGCTGGAGTACGGAGGCAGTTCTGGATTTCGGGCAGAGTTTGGCGCTGGGCAAGCAGCAATCTACAAACCGACTGAAGGCCCGCCTTTGTCAAGTTTACATTCTAGTCAGGAAACCAATGATAAGCAAGCAAACTATGTAATAAAGAAGTTAGTGGTACGTGCTAAGGAAGGAACAGCAGGGAGGGAGCAGAGGAACTGGTGTGTGGTCGAGGAAAGCTTCTCAGAGATGACGTTGGGGTGAAGACCTGTAGGCTTGATGGAGGAACCATTCAGATCTATCAGGGAACAAAGTGTTCCCGCGAAAGAACAGGAAGCAGGAAGGGGTGGGCCTGTGTGTCTCAGGCTCAGCAAGTAGCCCTGTGTGGCTGGAGCAGAGGGAGAAGGGGAGAGCAGCGAAGAGGTCAGAGGTAAGGGGACAGTGCCAGATAGTGGCACTGACTAGGTGTGCTACAGTTTAACTCAATTCTCTGCTACCTAGAGACAGTGTCAGATCACACAGGTGAAGGGTCCAGTCCCACAAGACTGCCCCCTCCTCCTTCGGATGCCAATCGCAAATCCAGGTTTTTAGACCTGTGCTTCTCACCGTTCAGCCTGAAGTTAGAGGTTCCTATAACCCCTGCCGTGGGTTCAATTAATTTGCTAGAGCCACTCATAGAACTCAGAAAACCAATTTACCTACGGGGTGACTGGTTTATTACAAAGAATATTGACGGATACAAATGAATGGCCAGATAAAGAGATTCTTAGAGTGAGGTCTTGAAGGATCTGGAGCATAGAAGCTTCTGTCCCCATGGAATTTGGAGTGTGCCACCCTCCTGGCACCGGGATATGTTCTGCTTCACCCACCCAGAAGCTCGCTGAAACTTGTAGTGCAGAGGTTTTTTTATGGAGGCTTCATTACATAGGCCAAACTGATGAAACCATTGGCTTTTGGTGATTGGGTCTACCTCCTGCCCCTCCAGAGGCAGATGTGGGAGTGGGACTGACAGGTCCCAGCCTCCACCCTTAGGGGCTTTCCAAAAGTGCCCCCATTAACATCGACTCAGATGTGGTTCAAAGGAGTTTGTTATGAATTACAAAAGACCCCCACAGTTCACCTTTTTTCCACACTGAGACTATCTCAGGAACTGAGGACAAAATACCAAATATAACAAAAGATGATCCCATTGCTCAAGTCACTTAGGAAATTCCAAGGATCTTGGGAGCTTTGAGGCAGGAACTGTGGATGAAGACCAAAATATATATTCCTTATTATAAATCACACTATCAAAATGGGAAGCCGTGAGGGGGGATTGGTGCAGAGGAATGATTTGGTATGATTAATCTTTCAACAGGATTACTCTGGCTGCTGTTTTGATAATAAATTATAATGGAGATAAGGGCAGAAACAGGGAAACCAGTTAGGAGATGGGGGGAGATAATTTTCCCTTACCCTTGTAGGTTCTTGGACGAGACCAACCCCATGATAAAAGACAGACTAATAGCGGAGGAACAAAACAGAAATTTAATAGCATGTATGCCTCTTGTATACATGGCGGATACCCAGGAAAACTGAGTAACTCCCCAAAATGGCCCAAGCCACCACCTTAAATACCATCACCTAAAGACAAGGATGGGGATTGGATGGGGGGAGGGGAGTGAGTTATGGAAAGTTGCCAGGAAAAGCACAGTAAGCAAAAGTATGGCTGTTATGCAGATTGGTGCCTTCTTTATTGATAATATTCTCCTGTGATTTACTCATCCTTTTCTTCCTGGTATAGAGAGGGAGACACTTACAAAAGGAGATATCCTTTATAAATGTAAATTTCTCCTGCAAAAGAGTAACTTCTACTTTGTTTTCAGAGCTTCTCCTGTGTCTGCAGTTCTCAAAATAATTAGCTCAAAATAATCCTGTGCCAAAGAGGCATGTTTTGGGGTGCCATATTCTGCTACCCTTCAGATGGATGTTCACAAGAGAGGTCCAGGCTGGCTGTATCAATTTGGGAGTAATTAGCGCAAAGATGGATGTAGGGGTGGAGGACCTGAAGAGGAAAAGAGGGAAGCAGTGTTTTATTTAAAATTGAACAGTACACCATAGTGAAAGTTTAGCACACCTAACACCATTTTCTTTGACTAATTCGTTAATAAGCATGTGTTACGATAAACTATTCTAGGATCCAGTGAGAAGTGTCACTGCATTCTATTAATAAATATTCATGGGTCTGCTTTCTATACTAAATTTACATGTTAATTTTGTATCTAGTTTGTTCAAAAAACATAATTGTCATCTTTCCAAGACTGTATTTTATGCATAACAACCAAGCCGTTATTCAGAAATCGAATTGCTGAGACTATAAATAAGGCCTGTGTAGGAACCACTTAGCTAATTTGTTGTGATGTGGGTTTCCATTCTAGGCAAGGAGGTTGCCATTTAAAATCAGAGACATTTGGAATTTGACGGGAAACTGAAGAATGAACCTTCGTGTTTCACTTAGATTCTGAATGAGCCAGATCTTTCTGAGTCAGTTATACAAAAATTTAAGACTCAAGTGACCTTAGAGCCCTGAGTCTATTCTCCCGAGGGATGGAGAATTGGGATCTGTCCCTTCAGGCTTATGATTTTAGAAGAATTCTTTCCTCTCTTCAAACCCCGGTTTCTGTATCTTTGAAACAAGAAAGTCAGTCTCATAATTTTATGAGATTATTGGGAGGAAGACCTGAAGGGAAAATGCGTGTGTTAGTGCATACATCTTAACAAACCACATGGCACAAGTTAAGCACTCAATAAATAGTGCTTAATATAATTTTTAAACACTCTGTAGGAGGTATCTATAAAATTTTTGGACTTGATTTTAAAGCATTGTATTGTAGTGTTATAGTATTATGATACCAGAAGGAATAACTGAAAACATTCCACGTTTTTAAGTCATATCCGGAAAATATATGTATTTGGGGTGGTTTTTTTTTTTTACACTTTTAACTTTTTTTTTCAGCTTTATTGAGATGTAATTGACATGTAACATATATTCATAATAGCTACCCACATTCCATAAACCTACTGCCCACAATAGATTTTTTTGCTTAAAATGGAAAAGAAAACATACATGTTCAAGCTTAAAGAAAAATGAAGCTGAATAGTTAAAATAGTTAAAAGGAGCTGCTTGGCACCGAGGAGGGTAAAGGATTGTATTTCTAGACAGGGAGGATGAAGCATGAGGTCTGTTAAATGTACAGTGTTATAGAATATGAAGAAACAGGTTAAGTGACCATTTGTATTTATTATGATGATCTAGCACTCAAGATCTAGACAGGAGGCAGAAACCTCGCCAGTATTTAAATGGGGGAATATTTCCTGTTCCTTATTAAATATTAAGGAGTATTTTTTTTTTAAAAAAAAAAGCATTTTTAACTAGTAAAAGGCAGTAAAAGTGGTAAAAGAAGACTCTAAGCAGTCTTGTAATAGCAAACGCAAAATGGTGCTGCGATCCTCTCCCAAAGGCAGAGGAAGAGTAAACACGAAAGGAAGTAAGAACTTAGAAGACCCTCACTCCCCCTCACTCCCCCTCACTCCCACCACCTTCCAAGGCAGAGATTAAGACCTCTTGGGAGAGGACATGGCTGGTGGCAAAGAAACTTGTCAGAGGGTGCTGGCCAGAGCTGGTCCATGGGGATGACTTGTTGCGCAGCTGGCTGGAAGATGCGGACCGACTGAGGTTCTTCACCCTGCTGGGAGATCCAAATCTTCATTCCTGAAAGGTTCTGAGTTCTCTAAAAATAACTTTCCTGGGGCACCTGGCTGGCTCATTTGGTGGAGCATGCGACTGTTGATCTTGGGATTGTGAGTTAGAGCCCCATATTGGGTGCAGAGATTACTTAAAAATAAGATCTTTAAAAATAAATAAATAAATAAATAAATAAATAAATAAATAAATAAAAACTTTCCCTCTACCCTTCAGGCTCTTGGCTGAGACTCCCTGTAATAAAACATTAGCAGGAGAAAACCAAAGAGAAATTTAATAATGTTTATACCTCCTGTATACACGGAAGATACCCAGGAAAATTTAGTAACTCCCCAAAATGGCCCAAGCTACCACTTTAAATACCTGTCTCCACCTAAAGACAAAAGATGTTAGAGGGTGAGGGGTGGAGCCATTATGGGTAAAGGAGGGCACGGTTGTTATGCAGATTTAAGTACTTGCCTTATCCACTGTTAAGTTTCTAGAGATTTAGTCTTCCTCTCTTCCTGGTTCAGCTAGGGAGACTCCCTTACAAATGGAGATACCCCTTATAAATGTAAATGTCCCTTACAAAAGGGCAACTTCTACTCTGTTTTCAGGGCTTCGCCTTTGCCTGCTGGTCTTTAAAAGTAACTAACTCATGGGCACCTGGGTGGCTCAGTTGGTTAAGCGACTGCCTTCGGCTCAGGTCATGAACCTGGAGTCCCGGGATTGAGACCCGCATCGGGCTCCCTGCCCAGCGGGGTGGGAGGGACCCTCCCCCCTCTCATGTGCTCTCTCGCTTTCTCTCATTCTCTCCTCAAATAAATAAACAAAATCTTAAAAAAAAAAAGTAAGGACAGTCCTCAAGCCAAAGAGGATTCGAATTTTAGGGTGGCAAATTCTGCTCCCCTACAGCCTTGTAGAGAGCAAAATGGAGTCTCTCATGTCAAGCAGGGGCCTATGTCAAGCAGTGACGCAAGCAGGTAAGGTACTGCAGCCAGGAGACATCGCCGGGACCCACATCAACTGACAACAGAGGAGGGCTGCAGAGACCCACAGCCGATGAAATCCCTTTAAACAGGAAAGGATTTTGGCAGCAAGCTGTCAATCTCTTCAGACCCAACCCCTCTATGTCTGGCCATTTAAAAAAGGCAACTGCCACCGAAGACTCTGCCCGGTGGATCTCCGAACAGAACCAAGATCCTTGCCTGCTTGAACATCAGAAGCAGGCAGTGCCCAGGGCTGACCCAGACCAGACCGAGGCCTTATCTCAATTGCGCACCCCCAGACTGACTTTGTGTTTGGTTCGTGAACTTCCTACACCCTTCTGTTTATCTCGTTTGCTGTGTGGCTTGTCCTCTGTCCTGCTTTGTATGCTGTGTAAGAAGCCAAGTATAATCACATGGTGAAACATCATTGAGTTTGGAATCCTGAACCTGCTTTATAATTGTGATTTAACTTTGCTTTACAATTGAATAAAGCTGACATTGTGGAAAGACACAACTCTTGTGTGTGCCTTTATAGCGTGCTCATGACAAGTATGGAAATGCAAAGAAGCACCCCAGAGAATCCCCTGGGTTCCAGACTTAGTCTTCGCTGACTCCATTGTATACCAACAACCCACTCGCTCTTTCGTTATCAGAATCAATCACTACAGCCAGACCCCATTCTCCGCCTTCTGGTTCAATGGCCAAAGGATCCCCAAGTGGCCAGGTATCGGTTCAATTAAATCTCATCTAATTCAATGGAACTATAGCTGTGTTTCTGTGTGGAAGTATTCTTCCCCTGAGAACTAAGATCTCCAAGTCAGCAGATCATAAAGTTGCTGGGACAAGAAGCGATACTTTTGGGAGTGGGTTATTAGGCATAATGGTGAGAGGAGCCACTTCCCTTCTGTCTCTGGGTTCCTGGACCTATGGTCGTGGGAGAGATAGTACCACATACTGATTCAAAGCACACATTGCATCCTGTAAGACAGAAACACATCCTTTATGGATCTGTCTCACCACTGCCATAATCGAATCTCCAGTAAGCTATTTTACCCTTCCATTAGGCTAGTCAGTACTGGGTGATGGGACATGTGGTAAGACCAGTCATTTCCATGGGCATGAGCCCATTGCTGCACTTCTTTGGCTATGAAATGAGTACCTTTATCAGAAGTGATTATGTGCACCATATCACAAGGGTGGGTAAGGCATTTTGTAATGGATGGTGGTTCTGGCAGACACATTATGGTCAGGGAATACAAATCCATGTCCAGAATACATATATATGTCTTTCCCAGTGAGGATGATGGAAGAGGTTCAGTGTTATCAGGCTGCCACCAGGTGGCTGGCTATCCCCACTGGTTAATACTGCCCTATTAGGGACTCAGTATTGATCTCTTGGTTGGCTGATGAGGCACTCCACTTGTAGCAGTCAGGCCGGACTCAGTAAGGGGAAATCCATGTTGTTGAACTCCATCCCTGCCACCATAGCCGTTTCATTCAAGGGCCATTGAGTGAGCACTGGGATGGTTGCTGAAACTAACTGCTCTCCACAGAGTGTGTCATTTTACCTGCTTGATCATTGGACACTTTCTCTGTGGTGGATAACTTTGGTGAGCATTCACATGAGGCACAAGTATCTTTATGGCCTGTGCCCATTTTTTTTTTTTTAATTTATTTGGAGAGCATGAGTGGGGGGAGGGGCACTTGAGAGAACCTCAAGAAGACTCGGCACTGAGAACGGGAGCCTGACATGGGGCTCAATCTCAGGACCCTGAGATCTTGACCTAAGCCAAACTCAAGAGTGGGACGCTTTAACTGACTGAGCCACCCAGGCGCCCCTAGCCTGAGCCCCTTCTTAAAGGGTCATCCACAGAACTCTTCCTCAGACTTTCTTGTCACCGATCTCAGTCTTCTTCCTTCCTTAAAACTTTAGCAACAGTACATAAATTAATACAGATATGCAATTCTGGCTAGCTCTCACCCAGAAAAAGTAAACAAGAAAACGTGCTACTTCAGTTCTATTCAGTGGAAGGATTTTCCTTCATGGCTGTCCTTCAAGGTCACCTCTGAGTGCAGCTGTGGGACTATAGGTATCCCCCTTCTGATGGCAGCACCCTCCGTTAACCAGCCTTGAGTCTTTTCTTCCTCAGTCAGCTGATCATACAGAACTTCCCACGAGGCTGTAACTATGGACTGAAGGGGGAAGAGGAATGGAGCTGGAGCTATGGGCTCCCGGAAATGTCTTTTCCTTCTGCTTGAGCCTGGTCTCTTATGTCACTTCCGTCTTAAGAGATTGAAGCTGCTCATGCCCAATTTTATGGTTTGGTGGGTCAGAGAAAACCCAATTTATCGTGGGAAACTCAGGCCTGATGACTCATGTTTATGCATTCAGTCTTTTCCAGGCTTAATAGCAAGCCAGGGCTGTTTCTCAAAAGGAGAATAGTCATCTATACAAGAAGGCATAAGATTTGCTCTAAAACCCTAGATGTCTCTCCTGTGGTTTTCTTCATGGTACTTGCCAGAAGATCAGAGATAATCCCATTATTTGTCATAGACAAATAGTGCCATTACCTGCTGGATCATAATGTCCAAGTGGAAGGGCAGCTTGCACTACAGTCTAGATTTCTTTTATTCCAGGCTCCCATAAAAACTGGCAGCCTTCCCTGGGACTTGGAAAATGGGTGAAGTAGCGTACACAAATGTGGTATATGCTGCTTCCAGTCCCCTTTGACCAACATCTCCCCATTTCCCCACCCCTCAGCCTCTGCAACCACCAAACTCTGTTTCTATGAGTTTGGGTTTTTTAGATTCCATAAATAAGTGAGATCATACAATATTTGTCTTCCTCTGTCTTACATATTTTACTTAGTATAATGCCCTCAGTGTTCAACTATGTTGTCACAAATGGCAGGATTTCCTTCCTTTTTTATGGTGGAAGAATATTCCATTGTATATAAACATTACATTTTCCTTATCCATTTATCCATTAATGGGCACTTAGGTTATTTCCATGCCTTGGCTATTTTGAATAATGTTTCAATGACCCTGGGGGTGTAAATATTGAGGTAATGACTTAATTTCCTTTGGATATATACTCAGAAACGGGATTGCTAGTACATAAAGTATTTTATTTTTACTTTTTGCAAAAAAATTTCCTTTTCTTAATCCAAATTCCACTGACCAGCCTTACCTGTCATTGATAACTCCCACCTTAATGAGTCACCTCTATGGTGGTTGCCAAATGCTGATGCTCTGTTTTCCTCATTTTTTTTTTTTTTTTACATTTGTTACATTTATGTACCCAGTCTCCCAATCATGCTGGCTCTGTGCTGCTGCTCCTATTTGTCACACTCCCCTGCTACATTCTTGGCTACTAGGCCTGTTGGCCTTTGCCTCTGCATGGCTTCCAACCTTTCTCATCATGGAGAAATTCACTCATGTCATTGACTACCATGTTGATTCCTCCACTCTGGCAAGGGAAGGGAATGGAAGGAATAGGAAGATGGAAAAGAAAGTGACTACATATGGTTTTAGTAAGCAGAACTGTGGGATGACTGTTTCTTAGACTGACGGTACTGCCCAGGGAGATATATTTTCAGAACATTTAATAGGTAAGTATGGTACATCAGATATATGTAATGAGAGATGAGTTTACCACTGCCTCATATTTTTACATAATATATTTTTATTTATAATTTATAAATTACAAAATAATTTATAATAAATTATTAATACATATGTATAAATGAATATTTATAAATGTATATAAATTTATGTAAAATTTATATAAATATTTATAAATAAATAATTTATAAATAATATAATATTTATAAATAAGATCTATAAATAAATATTAATAAATAAAAATATAAAATTATAAAATAAATCAAGTTTGTTTATAATATAATTTTTATATAATATAACATATTTTTGTTTACTTGTTTACTGGTTGTCTCTCCCTTTAAGTTCCATGAGAACAAAGACTTTGACTTGTCCACTCCTGTTATCTTTGGTACCAGAAACAGTGCCTGGCAAACATTAGGTACCCAGTCATTCTTTGTTAAATGCATGAAGCTCAGACAAGGAGCTTGCACCTATATTTTGGAGGTCAGAACAAGAAGACTGAATTTAATTCTCTTGGACAAAGGAAGGCTATCAAAGTCCTTACAGCAGGAGAGTAAAACAACCTGAGTTTTAGTAAGATACCTCTAGGGATCAGGGGAATGATAGATTAAAAAGACAAAAATTTGGAGGCTTATAGTAATTTTAGGAAACTTTTATTGTCTGTATTTTGAGGGACACTTGTTTGAAAGTATAAGGATTTTATTTTTATTTCATGTTTTCAAGGATTTCCAAATGTATAAGAAAGAGAATTTCTGTAAAATTTATAAAACACATGTTCTAGAAAAAAACCTGCCACATGTACAATTTGTCGATAATAGTTGTCATCCTTGAAAAGTATCAAAAACATTTTCCCTGAAATTTTATGTCATCACCACTTAAAAATCGGTTTTCTCTTATTTCTTATAAACTGCTTTAAAACGTTATGTTTTAAAATTTTTATCATAATTGATCATATGATTCAGCCATTTCTATAGTGTAGTCCAATATCATACTGAATTTTAACATAATAATAATAATTTAGTGGTGGTTTTCACAAATGATTTTCAAAAATGGTTACAAATTTCAGGTAGACAAAGTTTTAAATATTGATGATCTTTTTAGTTAATTACTATACCTTAGTCTTAAAAATTTCAATACAGGGATGCCTGGCTGGCTCAGTCAGAAGAGCTTGCAGCTCTTGATCTCGGGATCATGAGTTTGAGCCCCATGTTTGGTGTAGAGATTACTTAAATAAATAAAAAAACTTTAAAAAATAAAATTAAAATTAAAAAATTTTCAATACAACAAGCATTTATTGAGAGGATTTTATGGGTTAGGACTCTGCAGTGTTTGAGATCTTACCCTACTTACAAGTTACAAGTTTGCCTGTTTCATGGCCATTCACAGAAGACACAAGACTCCTGGTCAGAGACAAAGGACTTTATCATCATTGCAAAAACAGTATCCAGACCTTCATATTTATTTGTGTTGATTTGCCATGCCCCCTCAGGGCCAAGAGGGTGACAGTAAAGACCCATCTTGGATACCTATATACACAGTGTGTTGCATTAAAGGAAGTGATCCCTGAGCTCACCACTTTCATAGTAAATTTTACCAGCCTGCTTCTTGGCTGAAGAAAGGCATTACCTCATCCTTTAAGGCTGCTCACTGCAAACACAATTCTGAGGAATGGCCTGTGGAAAGAGTGGTCAGGATTTTGCATTCTTGGCATATGCACAAAGAATGTGCAGGGACACTCAGGATCCAAGGAGATTGCCTCTTCCAACAGTACTCTGGTAGTGAGAAAAAAAAATACCTAGGCTCCTAAAATGAAATTAGAGCAAATCTAAAATATAATTTTCTGTGGAAAAACACCAGAAATACTAGTTGAAACTGAGATATACAACATTACTGCTGTTCCCTCCCCATCTGGATAATGCTACTGATGAGATCTGTCATCACTATGATATTAAGGAGTGTGTAGAAGCTTAGTTGAAAATTGAGTGGGGTTAATTGAAAAATCATTATATTAAGTGTTGAAAATTTTACAAATTTAAACTTAGTCTTTCTTGGTTGAATATAACTATACTTCAAAAGTTTTTTTCCAAACCAGATGAAAAAATATGATACTTCAGAACACAGTAGTTGATAGTAACAAGTACCACCACAGCACCAAGACCAGGTAACATTTCTTGAGAGCTTACTAAGTGACATGCATCATTCAAAGTACTTCTAGATATTAACGCAATAATCCTGACAATAACTCTAGGAAATAGGCACTATTATTTTTCGTAAGAGGAAACTAAGGCATAGAAAGATTAAGTAGTTTACATAATGTCACATAGCTAGGTTATCTGCATGCTTTCAGCTCTGACTGACAGACGCTCTCACCAATTGGTGCATTTATTATATGACATTGCAGGAAGGCCAGAGGTATGACAGGTTTTAGAGCTAGTTGAGTCAATGGCTAAACAAAGTTGGTAGTCAAAATTATTTCTGATTTTTTTAAAAAGCTCATCATCGGGGCGCCTGGGTGGCTCAGTTGGTTAAGCGACTGCCTTCGGCTCGGGTCATGATCCTGGAGTCCCGGGATCGAGTCCCACATCGGGCTCCCTGCTCGGCAGGGAGTCTGCTTCTCCCTCTGACCCTCTTCCCTCTCGTGCTCTCTAGCTCTCATTCTCTCTCTCTCAAATAAATAAATAAAATCTTTAAAAATAATAATAATAAATAAATAAATAAAAAGCTCACCATCTATGTACTGGCATTGCCCTTTGGCTGGCCCCACTTGTGGTCACCAGATGGCTGTGGCACTTCTTGGCATCACTTCCACACATGGCAATGTTCAGAGTCACAGAGGAAAAACTCTCCTCTGGTGCCCCTGTGTAGGAACATAAAAAGCTTTACCCCAAGCCCCCCAGAAGATCTTTCCTCATGTCATTCTTGCCAGAACCAAGTTCCATACCCACCCCTAAAACAATCTGCCCAGAAGAATGCAATCTCTGTGATGGGCTGAGACCAGACAAGAGTTACCTTTGGCAGTGGGAATATGATCACCCCGCCCTGAATTCTGTGGGACATAAACCTGAGACTCTGCGAGCAAATAAAAAGGAGGGAAAAGGTTGCATGGGGTACCCCCATCAGGGTCTGCTCCGGCTGGTCAGCAGACAAGAGAAGATAGAAGCACACTCTGTCTTCGGAGCCTGTACTGAAAAGTCTGCTAATTCTTTTTTTTTTTTTTTAAGATTTTATTTATTTATTTCAGAGAGAGAGTGAATGAGAGAGAGAGAGAGAAAGCAAGCACAAGCGGGGAAGGAGCAGAGGGAGAAGTGGACTCCCCGTTGAGCAGGGAGCCCAATGCAGGGCTCAGTCCCGGGACTCCAGGATCATGACCTGAGCTGAAGGCAGACGCTTAACCGACTGAGCCACCCACGCACCCCCAAAGTCTGATAATTCTACTTAGGCTTTTGTGGCTTTGTTTTTTTTAGCTGACATTTCAGAAGCTGGTAGTTGTGGGAAGTTTGATCAAATTGACGAAGAGAGAGCATCTGGAAAATTGGCTTTCTTTTTACTATTTGAGATGCCCATCATTAAAGGTCTGTAGGAAGAGTTTACAAATACTTAAACTCCTTGCCTACTCAAATTGTTCAGGAATAGAATTTGAAAATCAAATACAAGATGGTGGTATGATTATCTCAAGGAAGAATCCTCAAATTTTTTGGTTTCAAGAACTTTTATAGTCTCAAAAATTACTGGGGATCTCAAAGAGCTTTAGTTTATACATAGTAACCATATTAGAATTTTAAAAGGAGAAATTAAGAATATATGTATGTTAATTCAAAGTAATGGTAAGCCAATTAGATGCTAATATAAATAACATATTTTAAAGAAAATGAACTGTATTTTTCCCAGAATACAGAAACTCGGTATGAGTATAGTGTCATTGCTTTACATTTTTGCACATCTTTTCGATGCTTGGCTTAATGCATGATAGCTGAATTCTCATATCTGCTTCTCCATTCACGTCCTGCACTCATATCATCTGTTGCTTCTGGAAAACTCCCCTGAACACTTGAGAGAGCATGATAGTGGAAAAGGCAAATAAAATATTAATACTATTATGAAAGTAATTTTGACCTTGTGGGTTCCCTGGAAGAGGATCCTGGAACCCCAGGGGTCCTCAGGCCACACTTTGAGAACCACTACCTTAAAATATTTTTACTTGATATGCCCTTGCATAATTTATGTTGGCTTTAAGCAGTAGCCCAGGTAAAACGGTAGATAGGATATTAAAAGGAGGCTCAAACTGATCATAACTCAGAAAATGGAAACAAGATGAGTAGCAGAGCAATATGCCACAGGGCAGGGAATCTGCAGGGAAAACCCCAAATCATGAGCAGACAGTTCCGAGCTTTCTTCACTTTACCAGTCCCTTTGAATCTTTAAAATATAACATTATTTACACAAAAATATGTGCAATAACATATTGTAAAGGAAATGTCTATTCTATAAAGCACTTTTACTCTCCATTTTTTTTCCAGACTTAATATTTCAGATGATTTGAAGATTGGCTTTTTCTGCACAGACCATGCTACTCAAACAGATTACAGTGAAATTCTGCCACTAAAAGAGTTGAGTTCATCTACAGAAAAGCTAATACAGGTAAATTGGATTTATTTTCAAACTTCTGAGATTATTTTGGGTATTGTTTGCCTTGATGTCTCTTTCCTTTGCAGAGTTGAAATGACTAAAAATTTTTAGATCTTAACGTCTTTTAGAAGCTGAATTGGACGACAGTCGTGTTTTTAAAAATAATTTGTATCAACTACTGCTTATATTTATATCATGCTTATATATGTTAACTGGTTTAGTGAAGTATGTTTTTACTCTCTTTGGAATTTTCTATTTATGCTACTTTTTAGAAATTATGAAATATTTTTGGATTGTCGAAAAATGTGGAGAGTAATATAATGAATCACTGTGTTACCCACCATAGAGCTTTGTCAAATCTTGACTTTCCACCATATTTCCTTTGGATCTTTTTTGATTGTAAAGAAACAGAACATTTCATACACCTCGGATATCAAGAGTTATTAAAATCCCTAATCAATAAAACCATCACATTGGATAACATACTACTGTAAATACTCTCATGTACTTTGTTTCTGTTTTTTCACTTAACAGTACAACTTGAAAATCATCCCGTATTGGTAGTTTCCTCGTCATTTTCACAAGTGTATCCATCATAAAATGTGCATCATTTATTAAGCCATGCCCTTACTAATGGACATTTTGGTTGTTTCAAACCTTCTACTGTGATGAAGAACTCTGTACATATTCAGAGGCCAGCCAGTCTGTGGCATAAACTTCAAAGTGGAATTTCTGAGTCAGAAGATGTATGCATTAGTCATTTTGAAGGATATTGCCAAATTGCTCTGCATGGAGGTTGTACCAATTTACACCCCCACTAGTAACTTTTGGAGGTGTCTCTTTTCTTACATGCTTGCCAATTTGTTGCCTTTTCTAGTAATACCTTCGGAAAAGTTTCATAACTTTATTTCTTTGCGACTGGGCACGTCCAAATGACTAAGTTCTGGTAGTAGAATTAGACTGAAATATTACGGGGCAGCTTTGGGAATCTTCTTTAAGAAACAGCTCACGTGCACTTACTGTCTGCTACTTCGCTTCCTCTTGCTCTTCTCCCTTCCTCCCTTCGCTGCCTCGCTCCCTCCTTCCCTCCCTTTCTTTCCTTATTTCTGTGCCTAGAACACGGACGCTACCATTTGCGCCCTGATTTGGAGGCAATATACACAGCCTAGTAATAAGATAGAAGGATCTTAGGTCATTTTCACCCCTGACGGCCTACATCAATTTCTAGTGAAAGAGAAATAAACTTATTTCTCTTTTGTGCTTTTGTTATTTGGATTTTTAAAATCCAGCTGAACCAAATTCTGATGCTTAAATCAGATATTTTTAATTAATGAAAGGCATCTAAAAAATATCATGAATGACTGGATTTGAATGCTTTTCATGGGTCTATTGAGTCATATGGTTTTTTCTCTTTATGTGATGATGTGAAAACTGACTTTTGAATAGTAAACCTGGAATGAACCCAACTGGACTATAATATTTCTTTCTGTTTTCTGCATCATTTGTATAATTCTACTAATGATTGTTTTCCATTCATGTTCATAAGAGACTGTCCTATAATGTTCTTTTCTTCTTATACTATTGTTGTTCAATCTCGGTACCAAGGTCATAGTATTTCATAAAATGAGCTGGAAGGTGTTCCTTAGTCTATTCTCTGGAATAGTTGGCATGAGGTTGGAATTATCTATCTCTTCAGTGTTTGTTAGAACTTGCTTGTAAAACTGTATGTGCTTATTTTTATTGCTATTTTTATCTTGTTATGGATATATTAAGGTTCTCTTAAATCTTCTTGGGTCAGTTTTGACATTATGTTTTTCTATAAAAGTATTTATTTTGTCAAGTTTTCAAATTATTGGCATATTTTTGACTGTCCTATTTTTAAATCTTTATTGTGTCTGTAGTTACCTATTTACCTAATAAAAAGCTAATATTGTGTGCATACCTCTTCTTTTTTTTTTAGATGAATGTTGGCAGTTTTATCTATTTCATTATTTTTTTTCAGAGACCCAACTTTTACGTTGGTTAATCCTCTCTATCATATCTTTATTTCTAGTTCATAAATTTCTTATCTTTATTTTTTAATTTATTCTACTATTTGGGGTTCACTTAGTTTTCTTTTTCTGATTCCTTGAGTTGGATCTCAGTATCAGTTAGGATGTCATATAGCTCTATTTTTAGAAAATGCAACTATATTGGCTTAATCAAATAAGAAGTCACTTAGAAGTAGACATCTGTAGTTGGGGCAGTAGCTCTCTGTTGTCATCTATATACCAGACTTGTTTTATCTTTTTAAATCTCCGTTATTAATGGCTTTTGCTTTCATATTTCTGACCTCACAGTAGCAAGATGGCTGCTACACTTCCAGCCTCCATCTGCATTTCATATAGGATGGAGACTATGAGAGAAGTAGGGCGGGGTGGTGGTGGCCATGTGAGGAAAGCAGGAACTTTCTATAGAAAACCCCAGCTTATTTATCATTGGCCTCAACTTGACCACCTTAACTGGAAGGAGTTCTAGAGTAGCGAGCATTTTAGCTGGACATATTTCTGTCTGGACAAAGTCCCGGTCCTCTCAGTAAGGAAGAACCAGTGTAATGGATAGTGGGTTGTCAGCTACAATGTCTATAGATCATTATTTTTGTGGCCCCCTCTTTTCTTTTATAAGCATTTACAGACTTATATTTCCCACAAATTACTTCTTTACCTTCACCCCACAAATTTTGAAATGTAGCATTTTTATTAGTATTCATAATACTAATTATTTTATTAGTTAATGCTTTTAATATTTATTAGCATTAGATTGAAATGCTCTAACATTTTCCAAGTATGCTTTTCAGTTATTGTTATGTTGTTGATTTTTAAATTCAGTCCTCTCTTATCAGTGAAAATTCTTTGTGAGACAAATTATTTGGTGTTTGCAACTTGTACCGAGGCTTCATGTGAGGTCAGTCTTTGTCACTGTGCCCTGGATATAAGAAATTAAAAATAATTTTCATTTGGTAATAGTTGAGAGTGTATGCATATGTATGTGTATATGTGTATGTGTGTATATATATGTATGTGAATATATGTATTTTGCTATTCTATTCATTGCTAATATCCTTATATCAACATTCTTTGGTATAGTGTTTGCCTGGCAAATCTTTCTCGTTCTTACACTGACCTCATTTCTGTGTTGCATTTTAGGTATAACTTTTACAGATTATAGATAGTAGGTTTAAAAAACATCCAATCTTATAATCTTTTTCAACAGCTAGTTTATTCTCTTAATATTAGTTGTGATTACTAATAGGTTTTTATTTTTCTGCCAACTTATTTTGTAATTTCTCTTTAGCTTCTTCTTCTTTTATACTTCTTTTTTTCTACCTCCCTACGTTTCATTGGATTGATAAACTTTCTTTAGTTCCTATTCTCTCCTCTACTGGGAATTAAGTTAATCGTGATATCTTTATTCTTTTAATGGTTGCACTCCTTCTCTTTGGTTTTTTTTCTTTTTAGGAAGCACACACGATCACATCCAGTACCTGTGGTTGCTCTGTCCCTTTATTATTCAGACCATAAAGGCCAATGATTTCTATCTGAGATTTGGCTGCCTTGTGAGGTCACCGAACACAGCCACCACAGCAGGCATCTCTCCCTGCATCAGTCCTTCCTCCAACTTTTGAATCCCCTCCCGATTCTCCTGCTTCTGTTTATTCTCCAGAATAATGATTGTGTTTTGTTCCTATTTTATCTAGAGTTTATAGTGATCTGTGGGAGTCTTAGATCCAGTGGAGTTTGTTTGACCATACAGGATTTCTGTGCCTCCCTTCCTCAGAGCATGCAGTCCATACAGGACTGGGTCTTCTAAAGGCAAAGTCATCTCTGCCTGTTGCTGGAATTTAAGGAATTCCTTAAGACTTCACTTGCTTTCAAATATTTTTTAAAAATGACTTGTCAACATAGTACCCTTCATGAGTTGACAACATGATATAGAGAAATAGGGCTATGAGTCAGTCATAACTGTTCAAATCTGGGCCTTCCATTACTGGTCATGCAATGTTGCATTAGATAGTCATTAACCACTTGAAGTCTTATTATCCTCATCTGCAAAATAAAATCTTCTCTATAGTTTCAGGATACTAAAATGAGATTCTTTCCAGGATGCTAGTACACCATATATCAAATTCAAAGTGAATTTGAGTTAGATCCCATTTGCAGGATTTGCAAAAGGAATGTTGCATATCAGATCAATGACTCTTAGCTTTTGAAATAGATCAAGGATAATAAAAATAAGAGTCAGGAGGTGAAGAGGAAAAATTACTGAAGTGATCGAGAAAACGCTATTGCCATGCTCTTTATAAGGGAAGAGGTACCAGAAGCGATCTTCCTCAACTCAAAGCTAGTAAAGCAGGCTTGTATGGAACCTGAAGTACGTTTGCTACTTTTGGAAAACACAGAGGACTGGTGCTGATCCATGCTTAAGGAAACTAGGAAGATGGAGTCGCTAAGTTGGGATCATTCTATACTTCCAAAGTTGTTGGGGTGAGGAATGTGTGATTGTTTCCTATGGACCATATGCGGCCTATGAAAGAGAAAGAGAGAGAGAAAGTGCATCATCATGGGGTCATTCCGGGCCCTATCCAGTAGAATGATCTAAAACGACAGAGGACCCCCAACAGTAGGAAGAAGAAAAAAAAGCTCTATATTCATAGGGGCTGAGGAAGGAGTAGCAATGATCACCCAGTCTTACTTTGAATGTGTTTAACTCATGGTAATAATATTCTAAATGCCACTTTGAGGCTGTGTTTTGAGTGACAGTAGGATTTTCTATTCCCAAGAACGAGCAGAAAGGCCCTGGAATTGACTAGAGTTTCCATTCAGGGCAGAGGAAGATTGCCTAGTTAATACATTTTAAATAGATGGTGGGAGACAAAAATACATTATATGTTTTGATGATCAGAAATGATTCTTAGTCAACATGCTGATTTGCTTGGTTAGTAAATTCACAACAAATGTTGATTTTTGCCTATCTTTCCTGATTTAATGTCCACATCTTGGACTATACCTTTTGGAGGTACGATAAATGGTTGTTGTTAACCCAGGTATTTTATCCTGGATGGGAAGAAACGACCAGGAACATTCTCTCCCTTACTCCATTAGCATATATTAATTTAGCAGATTAACTGGAGTTCTCCAATGTATACCATATTCCAGAGGTATTCTTAAAAAGCAGGACAGGCCCCTGACTACATTCCAGGTCTTATGCCCATGTTGGGGAGGAAAAATTTTTTCTTTACCTTTCAACATTCTTCTAGTTGGTCTAAGAATCAAATTGACCGGAGACAGATTAACAGGAGAAAAACAATTTAGTAACATGTACACCTTGTGAACACAAGCAAGAGATCCAGGAAAACTGAGTAACTCTCTGAAATGGCCTTAAATACCACCTTCAACTAAAGACAAAAGAAGATGTTGGGGGAGGAGGGGAACAGTTATGGGAGGTTATGAGGAAAAGCACAATAAACAAGGATATGATGGTTATGCAGGTTTAAATCTGCGTAAGAGTTTCTAGAGATTTTAACTCATCCCCTTCTTGCTGGTATAGCTAGGGAGGCGCTTTCCCTTCTAAATGTAAATGTCTCTTATAAAAGGGTAACTTCTACTCAGTTTTGGAGCTTCTCCTGCATTTGCAGTTTCTTTAAAATAATCAGTATGCCAAAGAGGCATATAAAAATTTGCTTCTCTACCCCCAGAACCAGACAATGTACTAGAATCTTTACACAGAGTGCCCTTACTGTCTTCAATAATGTATGTTTTTCCATTTTTCAGATTATTAGATCTCTTCAAGTGGATTTTGGGTTCCTCAAACAATTGCTTCAGTTGAAATTTGAGGACCGTCTTAAAGAAGAGTCTTTCAATCTCTTCACTGCTCTACATGACAGGATCCTAACAATCGAAAAACATTATCAAGAGGTACAAGTTCTCTCATTTCCTTTGTTTTATATGTAGATTGATCTTGTGCTTAGATAGGTATGTACTACAGTTTTGAATTTAGCAACTAGTGTGGGGGGCAATTTAATTTGCATATGTTGTGTCTCATATAATAGCTAATCCATATAATAGCTTTCCTTTGTATCAGGAACTTTGTAAGTACTCTGTATGCAAATTATTCTAATCCTCACACTAACTTCGTGAGGTAGGTGCAATTATTATCCCTCTTTTACAGATGAGGAAATTGAGGCCCAGGAAGTTTAATTAACTTGCTCAAGGCCACCAGTTAAACAGCAGAGTTTATTTTCCTGGCCAGACAGTTTGATGTTTGAGATCTGGCTCTTAAGCACAATTTTATCGGATATTATTTGTACTTATTATCTCTGTAAGAGCCGAAGGCTTGAAAACTCAGCTGCTTCAAGGAATTTCCTAAATTCTTTGGTCAGGTTAGCATATTTATCTGTCATTAAGAATAGGGACTGCTTTTCCTCAGTTATAAGACACACACACACACACACACACACACAAACCCCTCATCTTCTATTGACTCCATCATTCTGAGAACCACTATAAGCCTTTTAAATGTGTTCCTTCCATAAGTCCCTCAACAATGCTTAAATGAAACCTGATTATCCCTGATCTATAGATAAGGAAACTGAGATGCCAAGGTTAAGTAACCTGCTTCAGGTCAGACAGATTGAAAGTGGCACAATAATACTGAAATCCAGTTCTGTCTGACTCTAAAGCCTAATTGTTGTTTGCACTCCATGCTGGAATCAGAATTGAAATCAGAATCAAAGTTTGTGGGGGGTTTTAATATACTGTTTTTCATTGTTATCCAAAACAATGGTCAACTGATTTGGTTAATCAGAAAATGACTCTGTTTTATGGATTAGTGGCTCTAGATTTCTTTTTATGAGCATATCCCATTCAAAAGTACAAGGACCAAGAGAGGATATGAATTACAAATAGGTTTTACTATTTTTAAGAGCAGTTCTAGGAAGACAGTAAAAAGACTTAAATATGTAAAGTGAAATAAAATGTTCAGATTATCTATATTTATTTTATCCATTTGAGTTCTATATTGCTTATAGTTAAGTAAAAATTGAATGTAGTGTGGGGTACCTGGCTGGCTCAGTCAGCTGGGTGGCTGGCTCTTGATTTCGGCTCAGGTCACGATCTCAGGGTCGTGAGATGAAGTCCTGCGTCGGGCTCTGTGCTCAGCCTGCAGTCTTCTTGAGAGTCTCTCTCTCCCTCTCCTCTGCCCCTCGCCCTGCTCACATGTGTGTACTCTTTCATGTGCGTGCTCTCTCTCTCTCTCAAAAATAAATAAATAAATCTTTTTAAAAAATTGAATGCAGTGTAATAGCTATAGTGTAGGAGAAATGATTACAAATTGGAGTTTTCACAAGATTTGTGATGATCTGAATGATGGTTTTATACTGAGTCCTTTAGTAGGGTGAGAGAGTCATATTTGGAAATTCAGTATGGTGTTCATTGTACTTATTTTTGGTTTGCAGAATGAGGACATCATAAGAAAATGCTACAATCAGCAGTTGGCTGATGCCATAGCTGTTATCAAAGGAATGTACAAGGTGGGTTTTTAGTGCTGTCATGGGCAAGGCCAGCTTCCCATCCTGCGAATGCACAGAGTGGGGCTCGCTGGGGGTTCCCAGTCTGTGTTTTTGGCTTTGAAGATCTGTCTGCTCAGTTTTCAGGTCACTGAAAAGGGATCAGGCCTAAGACTGTTCACACTCATGTTAAATTGACCAAAATAACATTTTATGGTGACAGATATAACTTTGCAGAGACTGGAAAATTCCAGTCTGGTGTCCAGGTAAGTGACGAAGTCTGTTTGGTGAGCATGCAGTTGGATCGAAGGTCAGATAGTCTCAGAGAGTTCATTGCGATTGTCGTAAATCCCAATGAATTGTCTCTGACCCTTGGTGGGGTAACTCTTCTACTGATGAGGACATGTCTATCTGCCATATATGGTGTTTCACTCTCCTACACGACGGGAACATTCATAGTTTTCAATGATTACCTTTTAGGCTTACTAAGGACCTTGTGCTTCTTTTAGATTTTATAACTGTATTCTTGTCTTTCATTTCAATAAACCTCTGGGAAGAAATATTTTTTATTATGGCAAATTGTGCATTGATTGCATACTTCTTTTCATAGCATTTATCACGTTTGTATTTAATTATGTAATTGCCTGTTACATGTTCTGTTCCATGTCAGACTGGAAGCTTTATGAGGGCAGGGATGTTGTCTGTCTTATTCACTGCTCTGCCTGCCTCTTAGTGCTGTGCCTGATGCATGATTAGCGATCAGCTAATAATTGCTAAGTGAAAGGATAGTTGCCTGTATTTGTGGCAGATACTGGTGACGCAGCAGTGATTCTCCCTCCTCCTTTTTCTTATTAGCAGAAGCGCTTCTTACTATGAAGCCACAATGCTAGATCCTTTCTTTCCCTGCTTCCTTTTCAGATATGGTGTGAACATAGGCAAGGTCAGGTGCCTGACCAAGGTGACCTGAAGCTAAGTTGGCTGTGGGGTTTGGGGAGGAGGTTATTCTTTGTCATTTAAAGAGCTTTGGGCGGGGGGTGGCCCTGGGTGGCTCAGTAGGTTAAATGGCTGCCTTCTGCTCAGGTCATGATCTCAGGGTACTGAGACTGAGTCCTACATTGGGTTCCCTGCTCAGCAGGGGGTCTGCTTATCCCTCTGCTGCTCCCCCTGCTTGTGCTCTCTCTGTCGTGCTCTCTCTCAAACAAATGAATAAAATCTTAAAAAAAAAAAAATAAAGAGCTTTGTGGGAATAAACATCCTTCTCTTTTCTTTGACGTTTTTGTTTCCTGATGCTTGGAATTGCCGCAGCCAACCTACAACCAAGGACTGAGACATTTTGGATGTGCTAAAGGTAGCAGGGTGGAAAGACAGTAAGCACTGGGGGCCTTGATGAACATCACTGAGCAACTACATAATTCTGGACTTGCGCTGCCTCTGGCCCTTTCATTTCATGAGATAATACCCCTCCTAGTGTTTAAGCTGCTGGTTCAGTAATTTCCAGCTGAAAATATTCCAGGACCTACTGCTCTGACAACAGTCTCTGTGACTCTGTGCCGATTGTGATTCCACCAGTGCTGTGACCCTATCTTTCTCACCTGCCGTGTTACGTTGCTCCTCTCCCGCACAGAGGTGGAACCTAATTCCCCCTCCTTGAATCTGGGCTGGCCTCGGTGCCTTGCTCCTAGGTATAGAAGGTGATACTGCACCAGTTTGGAGGTTAGGTCAAAAGAAGCCTTGCAACTTCATTCTCATCCTCTTGGAATGTTTGCTGTCTGGATTCACCCTCTCTGAATCCAGCTGCCATGTTGTGAGAAGCTCAAGCTGTTTGGAGGATCTGCATGTGGGTACCGGGTCCACAGGCTCAACTGAGCTCCGCTTTTAAGTCCTCCAGCCCCCAGCCATTTCGTCTTTCCATCTGAAGTCCCAGGCGTTATGGAGCAGAGACAAGCCATCCCTTTGTACCAGTCTTAATTCTTTGCCCCATGGAGCTCGAGAGCATGATAAACGGTTGTGGTTTTAGGCCACTAAGTTTGGGGAGGTGTATTATGCAGCAGTAAATAGAGAGCTGGCATGGTTTCCTTGCACTCACATCAATAAGCAACTTCCAATTGCCTTTGTTGGATAGACGACTTCTCTAATAGTTCTGCCAGCACCATGTAGCATTGTGGTTAAGAGTTAGCATAATGTGTGCTTTAGAACAAGGACCCTGGCTGGAGTCAGACTCCTTGGGTTAGACTCCTGGCTCCGTCATTTTATCATTATGTGACCTTAGGCAAAATACCGAACCTCTCTGCCTCAGTTTTGTCATCTGTCAAATGAGGATCATAATAGTGCCCCCCCATGGGCTTGTTATGAGGATGGAATGAATTGATCCCCGTGAAGCACTTACAATAGTGCCTGGAATAAGATAAGTGCAGTCTAAATGTCTGCTAAATAAATGAACATTTCACATATTCATGACACTCCTTGGTACTGGTCATTTGTTCTGCTCCTTTATTATCTTAGTATTTAGGCTTGTAGGTTTCTGACCACTGACTGTAGATACGGTAAATTGCCTTTAAGATATCTATAATAATTGTCAGTATTTGTTATGTTGAACTGTATGAAATTGCCACTTTTGGAGCCCAAAAAATCAAATATCAGCAATTTCATATGGCTCAACATAATAAACATACTTATCTTAATGGATAAAGGCAGCAACAAACTACAGAAAATATTAGGCTATAATAACTTAAAGTAGAAGAAATTCATCTTCAATTTAACCAAACACGTGTTGAATGAGTACTGTGTGCTAGGATATGGTGCATACTGACATTACAAAGATGAAAGAGAGATGAATAGGGGTGAATTATAACTCAGCCACAATATACTTTGTTCACTGCAGAGATAAACATACAACAGGAGATATGGAAGCACCACAAAGGGAGCAGTTATTTCTGCCTTCATGCTTTAGGGAGGCTTCACAGAGAAGATGATATTTGTGCTGAGTTTTAAAGTAAATTCGCAGTTGGTAGATAAGAAATACAAAGGGATTCTAGGTAGATGGCATAGTGTCTCTTAGGATGTTTTTAGTGGCCAGTGATACATACCTAATTCACACTGGCATTAGTTAGACGAGTTTATTGGTTCATGTAACTGTAAAGTGTAGTGATAGTAATGACTTCAGGAAAAGCTGGATCTAGGTGCTCAAATAATGTTATCCAGAAACTGTCCCTCCCCTGCTTCCACCTTCTTCTCTGACAGTTTAATTTCCAGGCAGGTTCTCTTCATATAAGAGCAACCTTAGACAGAGCATCTCTTTCTAGATAGTTCCTACAGGAGTCTCAAGACTGACTCTGACCAGTCTGGCCTAGTTATTGGCCCCTACTCCCACCACAAGCCAAGCCAGAGTGACGTACCCATCCTAGGAGATAATATCAAGGACAGGGCTTACCCAAATGGAAAAGAGAGGTTTTGATACTTAAAGGAGAGATGTTGGGTAGGCAAAACTGTTTAGGCAAATTGGCTTCCCACTTTCAATAGTGTGTGAAAAGGCAAATAGGACCTGGTCAGAGTTGCTGTTGCATTGCCCCACATAGTAGCCAGTAGCTATGGGTGGCTCTTAAAATGGAAGTTGAAATTAAATTAAAAATTCAGTTCCTGGGTTGCATTAGCCATAGATTGCCCAGCAATATTCTGTGAAACCAAATAACTTAGGAGAATTCATGAAAGTTTGCACAGGTATGTTTATTTTATTTTATTTTTATGCTTTTATTAATAACAGTTAAAGAGCTATGCTTTCTTGAGTGCTCTCTTTGTGCCGGGCACCACATGAAGGAGTTTAGATGTATCATTTTATTCAGTCTTCACATGAGCAAGTAGCAAGAACTTGTGCCCACAGCAATTCTTCAATTTCTAATGTGGCACAGAGAGTGGTGGTAATAACAGGAACCACGTCATGGCCTCGGATTCTTACTTAGTGCTCTTGCTAATTTCAAGGTGTAAATTAGGCTGCTACAGAAATGGCTGTGCTATCCGGTTCATCCAAAACATGGTGCCCAAAGATGAAGTCCAAGTATCTTTTGCCTGGTTCAGCCCCATGACCAGGTGGAGCTGGGAGTCCAGTTCCCATCTATGTCATGTCTCTACAGTTATTCTGCAGAAAATGGGAAATGCTTGAAATTTTCTGAGCAGGAGAAAGAGAGGTGCCTTTGTGCCCTTCAGGATGGTTACTCCTGTAACAGTGTTAAAGGGCGTTGGAGAAATGAAGACACAGATATACACTCCAGGAAGACAGAAACCACGAAGAGTCTCCTCAGTGCCCAGTACAGTGCTTGGATTTTAATAAATATTTATTGGAGGAAGATAGAAGGAAGAATGAGAAAGAGGGAAGGAGGGAAGATGAGCTACAATCTGTAGTTTAAGGCAGAATGTTGGAGAGTGGAAGGGAGGGACAGAAGGAAGGAAGTTCTGCTCTAGGTTAAAAGAATTTAAAGAGACGTCTCACTAAACGCAGTATGTAGGGCTAGTTTGTATCCCGCTTTGAACAAACCAACTGTTAGAAAAAAAGTTTCGAGATAATTTGAAAAATTTTATTATAGACTAGATATTACATGATATGAAGAAACTCTGTTATTTTGTTAGTGTGATGGTGGCATTGTGATTACATGAAAAAGAAAAGAAACCCTTAGTTATTAGAGATGAACTGTGAAGTATTTAGGGGTCACAAGCTGTCTAGGATTCCCATAAAAATACATGAGAACAGAACAGGTAGGTAAGTGTGTAACAGACTATTATAATTTTCTCTACTTTGGGGTATGTTTCATCATAAAAAAAGCAGACGTATTTGAAAAAATGCAGGTTACTTCTTTCGTCCTCTTTCTTAAACACCCCCAGTGGCCTTTTAGAATTCAAGATGGAGTCCAAGCTCCATTGCTTGGTCTATGTCTTCCAGGCCGTGGGGACCCTGGCCCCTTTGGCTCCCCAGGTTCATTCTGCTGCAGCTTTCAGACCCTCAAACCTGCCAGGTACATTCCTGCCTTACAGCTAATCCCTGGAACCCTCTGGCCTCCATCTTCATATTGTAGCTCAAAAGGTACCTTCAGGCTTCCTGTGACCATCACCACTCAAGGACAAATATTCCACGCCAGTCTCTCCCTATTCCATTCTGTGGCCTTCAGAGCAGATGCCACTGCCTAAGATTCTCTTGTTCATGTTTATTTACTTATGAGCGTTCTGTTTCACCCCACGAGACTTTCGCTTTGGGAGAGCAGCCATCCTGGCTTCATACCTAGAGGCATGTAGCAGGTGTGAGATAAGAATATGTTGAAAGAATAAACACAGGAACAAATTAATGAGGAAGGGCTTTCTGAGCATGAATCTTTCCACAGAGACCATAAAGGAAAATAAAAATAAGCATAAAATGAAAAACTTCTGTACAACAAAAGAAAGTAAAAATAGTTTGAAGAAAAATGAAGAACTGGGAAAGTATGTGCAAAAAAATGCAAATAATGTATTAATATTCCTAACATATTGAGAGCTCCTACCAATCATTAAGATAATGCTGAATAGGGGCACCTGCATGGCTCAGTCAGTTAAGCATCTGACTGTTGATCTCTGAGATCATGGTGGTGAGATGGAGCCCTGCATCAGGCTCTGCACTCAACAGGGAGTTTGCTTGAGATTCTTTCCCCTCCCTCTCCCTCTGCCCCTCCTCTCAGTTCACTCGTGCATGTGCTCTCTAAATAAATAAATAAATAAATAAATAAAATCTTAAAAAAAGAAAATAATGCTGAATAGCCCACTAGAAAAATCAGCAAAATATATTAAAAAGATATTAAAATAAAAATATCTAAATGGCCAACAAACTTACAAAAAATGTTCAACCTTATTAAAAATAAAACAAATGCAAATGAAGCAAAAATACTACTTTCATCTATCAGATTGGCAGAAATTTAAAGATTGATATTATCTACTCTTGGCAAGGTGTGGGTTAATGGGTAAGCACATATATTGTGGAAGCATAAATTGGTACCACCCATTTGGAAGAAAATTTAACAAATTCTAATAAAAATTTAAATGTGCATTTATTTTGACCAAGCAATCCCACTTCCAGGGGATAAAAATACATATACAATGATTAGCAGCATTATAATCTAGTTTTTAATAGAAAATAATGGAATAATACTACTTAATGATACAAATGTTAGAAAAATACCTAGCCCATTTAAACGAAGGTAAATTCATATGTACTACTATGAAGGCATTTCCAAGATACATTGTAATTGAAAAAAATCTGACAGAACAACACAATATTGTAGAACATGCAGAATGTCTGGAGAATGAGGGAGAAAAAGAAAGCACTTTTTTAATTTGAAGTTTTGGTATTTTTATAACAGTCATGCTTCCATTTTTTATAACATGTGTTACTTAGTAGTAAAAAGAAGTGTCATTTCAGTTGCAATACATTTCTTTCCCCCGACCCCCCGCCCTTTCTCTTTTTTCTTTCTTTTCCTTGACATTGACTTTTACAACAAATAAGGCAGTTGTCTTTCAACATGTCCCACGTTCTGTAGTTGTTAGTTTGCTTCCTCAAGGGGATGTGTCACTTGTTCTTCTGTTTTCCATATGTCTTATAAATTAGAATATAGCTCTAAAATCACGATTAGATTCAAATTCAAATTTTATACCTTTTGACAAGAATGGCTTATGGGCAGGGCTTTTAAAAAAGTAAACTTTTACTTGAAGTGTAATTTACACGCATAAAAGCACACAGATTATAAATGTACAATTCAAATTTTTGTTAAAAAAAGGAGCATACCCAAATAATCATTCTTTAGATCAAGAATTAGGATGTTATGGCAACTTCCACCTCTCCAAAGGTTACCATGATCTGACTTCTGTCACAGATTTGTTTTGCTTATGTTTGGATTTTAATGTAAATAAAACCATACAACACTTGCTTCTTTATGTCTGACTTCGATCGTTGGACCTTACATTTGTAAAATTTATCCATATTGTTGTGCGTAGCAATAGTTTGTTCTTTCTCATTGCTATACAGTATTCTGCTGTATGAATATTCTTGTGCATACCTTTTTATTGTTTTACATAATCTCTACACCCAACATGGGGCTCAAATTTATAACCCCAAGATCAAGAGTTGCATGCTCTACGACTGAGCCAGCCAGGTGCCCCTCTTGTACATATCTCTTATTTACGTAAGTATGTATGTATATATGTATATAGAAAGAGGGCATCAACAGGAGGGGCAGAGGGAGAGGGAGAGAGAATCTCAAGCAGACTCCCCACTGAGCTCAGAGCATGACATGAAGCTCGATCTCACGACCCCAAGATCAAACCCAAGCTGAAACCAAGAGTCAGATGCTCAACCGAGACACCCAGGTGCCCATATGTATGCATTTCTGTTGGGCATATACTAGAGTAGAATTGCTAGACCACAGAGTGAGCACATTTTCAGTTCTAGTGGATGGATGCTATTTTTGAAGTTTTCTACTGTTTTTCTAAGTTACACCAATTTTTACTCCCTTCAGAGATGTGGAAGTGTTCCAGCTGCTTGACATTCTTAGTTCTGCCGCTCTTTTAGATTTTAACTCTTCTTGTGAGTGTGTAGAGGTATGTGTTTGTGTCTGACATGTATTTTTTAAAGATCACTAAGGTTGCTGTGAAGAGAATAAATTATAGGAAAGCAAGGATGGAAATAAGAACAGCGGAAGTTTGTTTCAATCATCTCTTTAGGTGATAGTGGTGGCTTGGAATAGGATGGTAGCAATAGAAATAGAATGAAGACAGGGTGAATTTGGGATATATTTTAGAAGAAGAGCCCATAAGGTTTGCCAACAGGTTAGGTGTGGAAGGGAAACAAAAGGGTGAAATCGTGGGTAACTGCTAGCTTTTTGACTTACACAGCTGGATGGCTGGTTCACATCAGTGATTGGAGGAGTCTGGTGGAGGAAGAGTATGCGTGAATTCACGGGGTGGAAGTTGCTCAAAGTAAGCTGCCCAAGAGTAGGGTTCTTGGTTTGTACCTTTCACTTATGTATCCCAAGCACCTAGACTATTAATTAACACGAAGTAAGTAATTAAAAGTATGTGTTGAACAAATGAGTGAATTAGACATCTTAGTGGTAATATCTGGCAATTTGTTGAATGTATGAGTTTAGAGGTCTATGGAGACACAGGTTAGATATATATATCTGATGGTCATCATCATCATAGTAGATTTAAAACCTTAAGGACTGGATGAGATCATGCAGGAAGAAAGTGTATTTATACAAGGTTAGTAGTAGAAAAAGCAGGGGAGTGTGGTGTCCCAGAGATCAAGAGAGGAGACTGTTTCAAGAAGGATGGAATGGTCAATGGTATCAAATACACTGAGACTTGAGTAAGCCGAGAGTCAAAAAGTAACATTGGCAATATTAACACTGGCATCACTGCAGATCCCAGGAAGAACGTCACAGTCGAGCGAGCGATAGAGGTGGATGTTCAGTCGGAATTGGGGGTGGGGGGTGATCCAATGTAGATTGAGGGCATTGAAAAAGGGAATAAAGGGATAGGGCTATGGCTGGAAGGCTAGAGTGAGAGTTTAGGGTCAAGGGACATTTTTTAAAAGAAGGGGTACTAGAAAATGCATGTATAGAGATGGGAAAGGTCCAGAACTGAGGGATAAATCAATAATGTAAAAGATAGAAGATAGGGTGCAGGAGGGGGTACTGGAGAAGGCCAGAGCAGAGCGGATCCACCGCACAAGTAGAGGGGTTGTTCTTAAGGGCAACAGGGGGATTCTCCATCATTGTACAGAAGTGTTATGGGCTGGGGATGCATGGGTGTTTCAGCTGGTTAAGCATCTAACTCTTGGTCATGATCCAGGATTGTGAGGTCGAGCCCCACGTCGGGCTCCACACTCAGCAGGGAGTCTGCTTGAGATTCTCTCTCTCTCCTTCTCGCTCTGCCCCTCCCCCCTCTAAAATAAATAAATAAATCTTAGAAGTGTTATAGGCTGAATTGTGTCCCCCCCCAAAATTCAGATGTTGAAGTCCTAACTTCCACTACCTCAGAATGTGACTGTTAGGAGGTAAGGCCTTTAAAGGAACCATGAACGGATCTGTGAGGTCATATGAGTGGACTCTGATCCAATGTGACAGGAGTCCTTATAAAAACAGCAGATTAGGACACAGACAGGTACAGAGGGAATATTCTGTGAGGACATGGGGAGAAGATAGTCGTCCACAAGCCAAGGAGAAAGACCTCAGCAGAAACCAACCCTGCTGGCACCTTGATCTCAAACTTCGAATCTCTAATATTGTGAGAAAATACATTTCTATTGGTTAAGCCCCCCAGTCCGTGGAGCTCTGTCTTAGCAGCTCTAGCAAACCCAGGCAGGAAGGGAGAATGGAGTGCACAGGCAGCTATAGGCAGCTTATAGATTTGGCAGTGAGCTGTAGGCTGGCTTCTGGCTTCTTAATGAAGGCAGAGACATGACCCCAGGCTGAATCTGAAAAAAGGTGGAGGGAGTGAGAGAGAGAGAGAGAGAGAAGAGAAAACTGGAAAATAGTCTGTATTAAAAAAACACATTTTTATGTTTTCATGTTTTAAATCTGTTTTGTACTCGTAGTTGGGTCTTAACTTGCAGAGATTAACTTACATATACATATCTAGTTTGCATAAATTTGATATAAACTACCTGACTATATAATGATTTATCATTTTTAACTGGCCTTTATTAGGGGTGCCCGGGTGGCTCAGTCTGTTAAGTGGCCAACTCTTGATTACAGCTCAGGCCATGATCTCTGGGTCCTGGGATTGAGCCCTGTGTGGGGCTCCCTGTTCAGCAGAGAGTCTGCTTCTCCCTCTCTCTCTCTGACACTCCTCCCCATTTGTGCTCTCTCTCTCTGTCTCAAAAAAAAAAAAAAATTAAGATTATCCTTCCTTGTGGACGATACCACTAAGATTGACATGTAATTTTAGGTATTGGGTATTAGATAAGCTATCTCATTTTCTTTTCTTCTACAGAAATGGCTTGAATATTCTTGGCTTTTTGTCCTTCCATATACATTAAATTATGTATTTAGTGCTATATTGTACAAATAAACTCATTGAAAATTGTATTGGTTTGCATTAAAACTATAGACCATTTTGGGGGAAATGTATATTTTCCAATAGTTAGGATTTTTTTCCCTTTCAACACTAAATCTCCAGTCTTTCACAGCCACTTGACACCAGCAGGATGTCATAGAAGAGGAAAACTTTTTCCTCAATCCTCCAAGGTTCAATAAGTGGAATGCAAAAATCAAACTGATAAAAGACAAATTAACAGGAGAGAAAAAATGATTTAATTAAGTGCTATGCAGGCAAGTTCACAAAGAAATGTGGCTTCAGGAGGCAGTCAGAATTTGCAGGCTTATTGCCATCCCAGAGGGCAATAGAGTGTGGAGAAGAGGCTAAACAAAAGAAAAGGGATGTGGGAGCTAGGGAGGTAAGTTACAGGAAGGTGACTAGGGAAAGTACGGTCAACAGGGATTGTTCAATAAGGTTCATTATACAGATTCAAGTCAGTGTCTTCTCCATTCCTAAGAGCTGCTAAGAGTCCTTCTCCTCCAGGAGACAACTTTACAAATGGAAAATTCCTTTATAAATGTAAGTTTCCTCTACAAAAGGAGTTTTATGCTGTTTTTAGGGTTTTTCCTGCCCCTCTTATTCCTCCGTTGCCTTTGAAATAATCATGCCAAAGGGGCATATTCTGGATTGTCCAAAAATCTGATTCAACTCTGACACCAACGATCCATAGCTGGTGCAGACCCCACAGGTAAAGGGCTCCATCCCACAAGACTGCCCCTTTTCAGATGCCAGTTGCATGCAAGTCCCAGTACCTCTGACCAACTGGCTATAAATTTGGTATTCTCCACCCGACCCCCTCCCACCAAGGTTTGATAATTTCCTAGAAGGACTCCTAGAACTCAGCAAAGCACCTTACTTACTGTTATAGGTTTATGATAAAGGATACAACCCCAAAAAGCCAAACGGAAGAGATGTGTAAGGGAGCAAAACTAATTTTCCTTCTTTCCTTCTAGGTTTGTAGCTGAGCCCCACCCCCTCCCCAATAAATGACAGATTAACTGGAGAAAAACAATTTAGTAACATGCATACCTACTGTATACATGGGAGGGACCCAGGAAAACTGAGTAACTCCACAAACTGGCCCAAGCCACCCCCTTAAATACCATCTTCAGCTAAAGACAAAAGAAGATGTTGGGTGGGGAGGAGCCAGTTATGGGAAGTGACCAGGAGAAGCACAGTAAACAAAGTTATAATTGTTATGCAGATTTAAGTCCTTGCCTTGTCCATTGATAAGCATTTCTAGAATTTTAGTCATCGTTTTTCTGGTACAGAGAAGGGGACACGCTTACAAATGAAGATTTTCCTTATAGGAGTCTCTTCCATGTCTTATGTGTGTATTCCTTTATACAAGTCTGACAAAAGAGTAACTTCTCAATTTTCAAAGCTTCTCCAGTGTCTGCTGTTTTTTAAAAGTAATCAGCCTAAAATAATCCTTACGCCAAAGAGACATATTTAGGGGTTGCAAATTCTGTTCCCCTTCAGATGCGTAGCACAAGTATGGGGCAGAGGCTTGAAGCTTCCACGACCTCTCCAGGTGCAGCACCCTCCCAGCTTCTAGTTATGTTCACCAACCCACAGCTCTCTGAATGCAGTCATTTGGGTCTTTAACAGAGGCCTCATAAGTGTAGGACTGAATAAATCATTTGGCATTAACTCGATCTCCAGTCCCTTTCCTCTCCCAGGGGTGGGAGGATGGAGCTGAAAGTTCTAAGCTTTTAATCAAGGCTTGGTCTTTCTGGTGACCAGCCTTCATCCTGAAGCTATCTAGGGGCCCCCCACGAGTGGCCTAATGAGAGCAAAAGGTAGTCCTATTGCTCTTGCCAAAAGTTTTAGGATTTTTGTACCAGGAACCAGGGACAAGGACCAACTGTCTTCCGATGACACCATGCCTAAATTGAATCATCCAAATACTGTATATACTATAGTTCCCCATTTACTTAGCTCTTTTTTAATATTTTAAAATACAAAAAGAGCTTTAATGGTTTTGATGGGTGATGGAAGCAGAAAAATGTTCACCTTTAGCCCAGAAGGCTGACCCATAACCTGCATATTTCTGATAAGGATCAAATAATGTACCAGTTGCTACTTTCTTGAAGGGTCTCATGACTGCCTATCTCACCGATAGTTAATATCAAACTGAGTGATAAGGACCGGAGAAATCTTGAAAAAGTAGTTTCACGAGCAGAAATTGGAAGAAGATACCTATGACCTAACACTTCCTGCACATCCCCTTCCCCTTAAGTACTAAGCATATAACCACCAGCTTCATACAGCAAAAGTGCAGCCCTTTCTGCCCACGGGTCCTGTCCCGGTGCTACTTAAACTTACTAAGTCACACCATACAATGTTTCAAGAATTCTTTCTTGACCATTGTGCTCCATGACCCCCAACATTTTTTTTCCAAGTTTTATTTATTTAAGTAATCTCCACACCCAATGTGGAGCTCAAACTCACGACCCTGAGATCAAGAGTCACATACATGCTCCCCTGACTGAGCCAGCCAGGCGCCCGGCCCTACATTTTTATTACATTTATTCCTGAATACTTTTCTTGAAGACATAGTAAATACCTTTTCTTTTTTTTTTTAAGATTTTATTTATTTATTTGACAGAGAGAGAGGGAACACAAGCAGGGGGAGTGGGAGAGGAAGAAGCAGGCTTCCCGCTGAGCAGGGTGCCCGATGCGGGGCTCAATCCCAGGACCCTGGGATCATGACCTGAGCCGAGGCAGACGCTTAACGACTGAGCCACCCAGGCGCCCCAGTAAATACCTTTTCAAAATTACATTTCTGACTGTTTATTACTGGGGTATAGAAATGCAGTTGATGAGTATATATTGATTTTGTAACCAGCTATCTTATTAAATTTTTAAACTTACTTCAATAATTTATAGAGTCTTCAGAACTTCCTATATCAAGAGTTATATTAATTGAGAATAATTACATATTTGTTACTATCTTTTTCATCCTCATCCCATTTCTTCATTCATTCATTAATTTTTCCTTACTGCACTGGTGGTGCATCCAGTACAATGTTAAATAAGAGTGATGATTTCAAGCATGCTTATTTTATATCTAATCTTATAGGGAATGAATACAATGTTTCAACATTACACGTAATACTTGGTATATTACCAGGCTATTTTAAAGAGACTATTAAAAAAAAATCATGAATCCTTTTCAGTTTTATAAAATGTAGGGTTTATGCATCTACTAAGAGATGCATAAATGCGTTCCCCTTCATGATGTTCCTCTTAATCTATTAACGTGGTGAAATTAATTAATTAATTTTTTAAGTGTGAAATCAACTTTACTTTCCTTGTGTATGTCCAACTTGGTCATGATATATCTTTTATAAAAAAATTGTTGTTGAATTTAGTGTATTAATATTTTGATTAGGATATTTCAAATCCACGTTCATCAGTGAGGTAACCTGTACTTTTCTCTTTTTTATATTGTCCGTGTTGGGTTTTGGTATCAGGCTTATGCTAGCTTCCCAAAATGAGCTGAGAATGTTATCCTCATTTTGTTCCCTAGGAACATTTATATAAGATTGGAAATATTTCCTCCTTAAATATTTAGAACTACCAGGAAAAGCCAGCTGGGCCTGGAGGGATAGATTGACTAATGGACATCTTTTGGATTCCTCATTCAATTTCCTTAATGATTATAAGACTATTGGGAATTCTATTCCTTCTGAGTCAGATAAAATTAAATATTTGTCTAGGGCCTTGTCTATTTGATTTAAACTCAAAAATATGTTGGAAGAAAGGCTTACTAATGTATATCGTTCTCAGATAAAAAATGTAATCCTATATTTTTAAACCCACTTTTTATTACTACTATATCCATTTCATTGAGTTTTAAAATATTACTTATAATTTTTTTTATGACTCAGAATTCTATTTGCACTCTATGCTTGGTTATTGGTTATTTTTTTATGGCTTTTGCTCATTGCTCATAATTTTAGTCCTGTTATTTCTACAAACATATTTAACTATACTTGATTTATATTCTGTGTCTCACCATTTCCATCTTTGAGGGTCTGATAAGTGCTGGCTGTCACATGCGACATGTCATTACTTTTGGGTTTTATGATTTTTGACTGTGAACTCAGATTTCTGTGGGAATTCCTTGAGGCCTAGAACAGAAGTCAGTTTCTGTGGAGATCTGTGTTTGCTTCTATAAGATTTCTGGGTCTGTGACCACTTTAATCTGACTTTTAGCTTGAGGCATTTTAGACCACCCAGATGGATGACTTTGGGTCACAAGGTGTGTAGGTCATCTTTCATCTTGTGCTCATAAAACTTCTTTAGAAGACATGTTTTTTCCCTTCTCTGTACTCAGAGCCAAGTTTCCAGACAGGCAATTCCACTTTTGGTGGGGTGGGAGGGGGTGCACAGTTCAAGGTAGTTTTAGTTTGTTCTTACACTGAAGGAGTGGCCCTTTGGTGTCTCAACCTTAATGAGGAGGCTTCCTATTATTTAGAATTAGAATTACCACTTTGAGGAGGACGGAGGTGATATCTCTTCTCTGTGTCCTGCTGAGGAGCAAACCAAAGTTCACACATCCCTGGGTTGGCAATGCCCTGGAATGAAAGCCAGCTTCAGTGTGCAGCACACCTCTCTGGATTTCTGCATTCACTTCATTTCAGCCTAAGTACTCCTTTCTTTGTCAGCTTATAGATGCTCTTCACCTATCCTATCTAGAATTTTTGTTGTTTACAGTGGAAGAGTAAGTCAGAATCCCATGATTTTTTTTGAACATGCTTTCCTGATCTTTTGTGTCTTCAACAATTTCTGGGACACTGACATACGTCTAGTGTGTATCAAATGCTCAGAAAATATGGCAGAATGGAGCACCTGGCTGGCTCAGTTGAAAGAGTACGCGACTCTTGATCTTGGGGTCATGAGTTTGAGCCCCACGTTGGGCGTAGATATTACCAAAAATAAATAAATAAGTAAACTTAAAAATAATGTGGCAGAATAAGTGACTATCACTCTTTATATGTACTTTTTGTACTTCTTAAAGTAGAAAGCCCTGAAATGATTAAATGCTTTCTATTCATCAGTTTTTCATAAACATGTTCTAGTTAAATATACTTAATCAGTGTATTAATTGTAGTTGGTTTATCTAATTAAAGAATTGCTTTAATGATATAAAAGTGATTATTTGAATCATCCCTTTGGTTGTTATCATTGCTTTGATCCATGACCTCAGACAGCCTGCCTAATCCTGGCCACCCAGTTTGCGGAGGCTCAGTCACAAGAAAAAAACAGAAGACTGTTGGAAAAAAATAAATAAATAAATAACCAAAGTAAGCACTTGGGTTAAGAGGTAACTTTGGTTAAGGATAAATGACTCTGCTGCCCTCTGGAGGCCACTTGAGGATACAGGTAACAAGTCCCTTTCCAGCCATGGAGCAAGTTTTTAAATCTATTTAACTTTTGTAGAAACAATCTCTTCCGTGATATTATAGTACCTCATCTGACACAAAAGAAAAGAGTTTTCTAAAACTTACACCTGATTTAGCTATATTTTGTAGGAGCTCAGATTCAAGTAAGAAAACAAACTACTCTAGGTATTTCAAACACATAGGGATTTAATAAAAGGATTTAGGAGCTTATAAAACCCTTGGAAAAGTCAAGGAGATTGTCACTACCTTTTGTATTAACAAGCAATTTTCCCATTGCTTTTTTTATTCTTCCAGGTAAACTTTAGAATAATTTTGTTTTGCCACTCCAAAAGGCCCCCCTTGGTATTTTTATTAAAATTGAACTGGTTGGAAAATTATTCATGAATTTTGAAATTTGTATCATTTATAATATTCAGTCTTCCTATTCAAGAATACCTCTTGATTCACTTATGTCTTTATGTATCTCAATAAAGTTTTATAATTTTACTTATGCAGGTTATATTTCTTTCCCATACAACTAAGTGATTCCTAAGTATTATACTTTGTGTCCTTAGAATATGGAATCTTTTTTGTCATATTTCAAGAATATTTGGGTATCCATGGAATCCTTTGGGTTTTTTTAAGTTTTTTATTTAAGTGATGCCTACACCCAACGTGGGGCTCAAATTCCTGACCCCGAGATCAAGAGTAACTTGTTCTGCTAAGCCAGCCAAGTGCCCCAATCAGCTTTAAAGGTATAATTTACATTGCATAAAATTCACTCATTTAAAGCCTACAGTTCAGTGGTTTATAGTATATTTACAGAGTTGTGCATTTCTGCACCCATCACCATAATCTAATTTTAAAACATTTTCATCACCTCCAAAAGAAAGCTTGTACCCATTAGCAGTCACTCCCTATTCTTCTCTCCTTCTTTTATGCACCCCCCCAACTCTAAACCCCTGGCAACTGCTAATCTACTTTCTGTCGCTACAGATTTACCTATTCTGAACATTTCATATAAATGGGAGTAAAATACATGCTGTTATTGTGATTGCTTTCTTCTACTTCACCAAAATGTTTTGATGTGAACCACTGATTTTTTTTTTAAAGATTTTATTTATTTATTTGACAGAGAGAGAGACAGCAAGAGAGGGAACACAAGCAGGGGGAGTGGGAGAGGGAGAAGCAGGCTTCCCGCCGAGCAGGGAGCCC